AACCTTTAAAGCAGGGTTCCTCAACCTTGGCAACTTTAAGACAGGTGGACTTCAACTCCCAGAATTCCCCAGCCAGCCACCCATCTTAAAGTTGCCAAGGTTGAGGAACCCTGCTTTAAAGGTTTGTTACCCTCTTGTATATGTGCATAGCATATCTGTACTGTGACTGAACTTCTCAATTCCTTGTTATATTTACAGTATAATTTTATAGCACAGGCAATTTAAGATTATGCAAAGTTTGCATCCTAGAACTGTGATGTGATTGGTAATTTTATTTTGTTCTTCTTCTGAAGGAATTCCCCAGCTGTTCCAAGCCAACAAATGAAAAAAACATTATTTTTCATTGTGAGATACAAATAAGGATTCTTAAAAAAACACACACAAACAACATTGTAAAAGGTTTAAACTTGCCTATTAGAATCCTTAAGAGTTTTATATACCCTTTGTATTTCTGAGTAGCACAAAATATATTATACAAATGGTTTGTATCTATTGTGTAAGAATTACATGAATTCCCTTCAAAACCAGCTTTATATACCATTTTCTATTCAAGCGTGCACCCAGGAACCCAGCTTACCATTATTTAACAACATGCATATCAGCTGTATTATTTTAAATATAAAATAAAATTCATGGAATTTCAGTTTAATGTGGATTAGTGATGTTAACCCTTTAGCTCCTTACAATTCTAATTCAGACCAAGTCAAATTAGGTTTGGGTTTATCATTGCCAAAGATGTGAAATAAATGGTAACTTTTTAAAAATAATTTACAAGACAGGTATGAAAGGCCCAATCCAGATCAGAACCCTGTATTCTGCCCTCTAAGCGGTGATGTGAATCAGATCCTCTGCTTTCTATGTAGAGGGAAATTTTTTTTTAAAAGATCTGCTTTCACTTGGACCAAATTATTGGTCCAAATACTTTTGTGCAGACAAAAAAAAAGGATTGCAAAAAAGATTGCCACTTGGAAGTATTTACTGCAGTTCATGTGTAGAAGTGTGTATTAAATGATGTGAAAGTTCAGCTATGATTATCATCTCCTTGAATATACTCAGTCTCAACTTGTTCTATCAGACTCAACAGCGCTTAGCAAAAAGATGGCAGACTGAGCTTTCATGCACTCTCCACTGTGCATCCTGGACCTACTCTCTCAAATTTTGGATCTTGGCCAGTATTTATATTGATTGCTCTACTTGTGGTCCTATATAATTCAAATTGAAGGCTATTGATCTTTTATGTTTTAATTGGCCTTTAATTTTAAAGCATCATAAAATTCCTAATAAGAACTTTCACTAATGAACCTCTACATATTAAAATCAACTATAAGAGTTGCTGGGAATTGGGCATCATACACATTTTTTATTTTTTTTAATTATTATTATTATTATTATTCAGAAACAATGTCTGTTATGTTAAACCCAATAAGGGATATAGTATTTCTATTTTCTTCTGTACTAAAGTTTAGCAGTTTTCTAGATGTCTGCTCAGACATACCATTAAATTCAATGGGGCTTACTCTCACGTAAGCGGAGATAAGATTGCATCTTAAATTGTTTAATAAAAAAAGCAAAGGGAGAAAAAGACCAGGTTTTTAACTATTATCTCTGGATAAATGCAGATCTTTTTTAAAAAAAATAATAACTACAGCATTGACAATGTCACTCTAGAGAGTTGACTTTGTCAAGCAAATCACTAGTTTGAAGTAAGCTGTTTTTGTTGTTGTTTCTTTGCCCATTTCTCTCTACTCCAACTGCATGTTAAGTCCTAGGCAATCCAAATAATATTTTTTCCCTTAAGTCCTCATTGTGCAACATGAATGTCCAGATTTTAGTTACTGTGAAGTTAAGATATCTCAGTAGTCTCCTCTGTCATGGCAAAGAGTCCCATTTTGGGGAAGGGGAATGCCACAGCAGACTCCTCACTACATCCATATAAAGTTCCACATCATGAAAGATCTTGGTTATTTTTTCAACCAATTATCAAATAAAAGAGAACAGATCAGATTCATTGAAAATCTTGACATGCATTTCCCCTTAACGTTAGAACTGTGCTCGTATCTTAGCTGTTTCCTGTTAACTGCTCTGAATATATTTTTAGGGCAAGCAACTTTAAACTATCTAGTTTGGCTGCTCAGGGATCTGGATCTAAAGGGCAAAATCTTATTCAGAATATATGTGGGAAAACCCCCAGCGCAGGAAAGGAATGCTTTCAATCAAACGTGTCTTTTCCTGGAATCATGTGGCAGGGAGCTCAGAAAAAGGCACTGTTGCCGTAAGGTCTTTTCAGGGGGTGCTCTCTGTGTGCCCACCCATGCTGCAATCACGTTTTGCCCTTCAAAACTGACTCTCTGCACAACCCCATTAGATAGCTTTTGATAAGACTGGAGTCTAGCTTTCAGCAATCATCAT